TAGCAAATGGCTGCAATATAACAAAGAGTGAAAAATTTAAGGGGGTCTGAATACTTTCCGTACCCACTGTATGTCTCTAATTCATTTTTTCATTTATACTTAAATCTTTTTGTATCGCATCACTGAACATTTTTAGTGCTTTTTATCTAACTGCCAGCAATAGCACACTAACTTCTGAATGACTTCCTGAGTGCAATGCTGCTTGCAGCTTTTTGTTTAATTAAGTGTTTTAATACTAATTTTACTTAATATGTTTCATCTTAGTCATGTTGGAGATTGAGAAGAGCTTCTGTGATGTTGGAGTTTTTGTGGTTTTCATTGTGCAGAAGAGTGAAGCTTGTGGTTTTGTTGTGGGTGGATTTATAAACACCATGGCACTTTAAATGAGCAATAGCTGCTAAAACAATGATGATGCAATGATGAGTCTCTTCTTAAGTGTTTATCTCATTACACTCAGTCAGAAATAATGTTGCTAGCTAGCAGAAAAATGAAAAAGATTGTTCTCAGTAGTAAATACTTGAGAAATTATGAAATAAATGTACTTAGTCTTCTTAGGCAGTCATGGCCTAATGGTTTGAGAGTCAGACTTGTAACCTGAAGGTTGCGGGTTCGAGTCTCAGGTCAAGCAGGAATTGTAGGTGGGGGGAGTGAATAACCAGTGCTCTCTTCCACCTTCAATACCACGACTGAGGTGAGACCCTTGAGCAAGACAACTGCTCCCTGGGTGCCGCGGCAATATGGCTGCCCACTGCTGTGTGTTCACTACTCACTGCTTTGTGTGTGCACTTGGATAGGTTAAAAGCAGAGCACAAATTCTGAGTATGGGCCACCATACTTGGCCACACTTCACTTCACTTAGTTCTTATATGAACTTTAATTATGTGGGGAAATCTTTTCTTAATTTAATTAAACTCATTCATTCATTCTTTTTTTTTTTTAGTATAAGCTTTTGAAATAAACATGCATGGGGCCCATATTACTCATCTTGAGGAACTGAGAGTTTGTCCTACATGAAACCACAGGCTCTCACAAGTGTTGCATTATCAGATGGGCTCAATGCAACAAGACTAATTCAGCTCTATACTGATCTCACAGTGAAATAGGTTTCTGAATGTGAACATTAGCTTTGAGGTACCACAAATCTGAAAATTGCAAAAAGCAGAGGGTTTCAGTGGATACTATATGGGGCAGGTATATATCAGATGTTGATAAAAATCTGACATTCATCTTAGACAGATATGAACTCAAGAGTTTGTCCAGTATGAAACCACACATATAAACCAGATCTTCACAAGTGATAATCAGAAGAAACCATTTAGATGGCCTAGATGCATCACAATCACGCTATTAACATAGATGTTCAGTGATATAAAAAGGCACCTTTCTCATCCCTTAGTTTGAAGAGTCATTGTCTTCTGGCTATGCACTTCTGATCTTCTCATGTTGTTGTTGCTCCTGAGCTGCTGAAAAACATTGAAAAGACAACGCAGAATCTGACAAAAAGAGACAACAGTATTTTCAGGTAAGTTTGGGTTTAAAATAAAAGGTTAATATATGAGTGAACATCACAGGTTTAAGTGATTTTATTTTCTCTCGAAAAACTTCTGCTATCTGTCAGAAAAAACAATTTAATTTATTAATTTAAACCTGTATTACAGTTTTTTTTTAATTGGTTTGGTACTATTTTCACAAGTAATGTGTACATTTTCAAAACTCTTATACAAAACTTTTAACTGATCACACTTGTAACACCACTAATCATTCTTTCAAAACCTGATCTCATGATTTCATTGTAGTTGCGCATATTTTCATTCCACATAATCATTGTTTCAAAACACAAGATCATTGTGATATGCATTGAGAATATTTGAATTAATCACCAAAACACAACAGTATGATCTTCTTTCAATTTAGTACTTTTAACAAACGGTTCATTCAAGAGCAAACAATGCAAGATACATGTTTCAAATCACCTTTTTTGCTAAAATAATTACAGTAATACAGGCAATAATTGTCATGTTAGAAAATACACTTACATTACCTAACTTGCATATCTCACATAAAATCAATAATGTTTGTAAAAGTATTTATCCAGTGTGTTATCAAAAGGTGTGATGAAGGTATGACATGGAGGCCATAAGGTTTTGTGCTAGAACAGAGTTTACTATCAATGCAGTAAATGTCCTCACTGTGCCATATGTCTGAATATTCTAGCTGGCAATCACGTTCTATAGAAACTAAATATCTATTGAATCTATATCTATAGATGCACCATATGATTCACTGAATAACCATTAAGATGAGTTAGATTAAATAATAGACAGATGTATTAAACTGAATGAGAAGTCATGCTAATGAAAAGTAGCTTTATGAAAGGCAGTTACTGTGAATGAAACATTTATATAGATGAAACACTTATTTTGTGTAGTGAAAAGGATATTTTGTGATTGTGTGTATTGTACTAACACAATTGAAAATATGCTGAAATGTTTGAAAAAAGTGCACTTTTGATGATCTGTTGTGATATTAGTACTAAGAGTTTTGAACATTTACCAATTGCTTGTGAAAATTGCGCCAAAGCAATTAAAAAAAACTGTAAGAGATTGGTGAACATTTTAATTGTACAAATCTAAGTACACATTTCTTTCCATTATATTTCAAGGTACAGATTTAGTATTTGTGAGACAATTTTGTGTTTCTTGTCTTTCAGCATCTGCGCTTCACTATTTCTTAATAGATCATCTGAGGGATTCGACTGAATCAAGATGCTGCTGATCATTGAAGCTCTTCTGCTCATTTTAGCTGCTCTAGGACAGGTAAGCTTGTGTTCTAGTATGCATATTACAGACATGAATACTGACGATTGATCATTATGATTCCTGTTGCTGCAGGATCACAGAGCTGCTGCAAGACAGATATTTCCACTGGATATGGCACAGAATTCTGTTGATGACAATTATGACGGCTGTACAAAGGAAATGGCGAATCTGGTGAAGACCAAATATCTCGAAAAGGAAATGCAATCTAATTTTGCAAATGCTTGGAAACAAGCTGAAAAGAATTACAAGCCACCCGGAGATAAATTGACAAAGAATCATTCGATCGCTATCTATGTGTACACTAACTCTAAATTTGAGATTTATAAGGATTTCAATAATGCTGTTCGTAATGAAAAGAAAAAATACCAAAACAAGAAATTCACATGGTATTCACTTCACTTTTTGTTAACAGATGCGGTACAGATTCTGAAGAAAACACAAAAAGGATGCATGTTAACTTATCGTGGTACAAATGTTAATTTTAATGAGAGTGTTCTAAACAAAGAGGTTCATTTTGGCTCATTTGCTTCTTCCTCTTTTAATCATACCAAAACAAAACTTTTTGGAAATAAATCTTGTTTTGTAATCTACACTTGTGAAGGTGCAAATTTGACAAAATATTCTAAGCATGACAAGGAGGAAGAGGTGCTGATTCCTCCTTATGAGACGTTTAAAGTCACTGCTGTCAAGACAAGAAAACAGCAGAAAGATCTCTGGTGTGACACTGTGTTCACTTTGAAAAGCTCTGGAAACAGAAGTGACCTGAATTGTGCTCTATTCAAGAAACCACCCAAGACCATAACAAAATACTAAGACTGGCAATGAAAGTAGGCCTACTGAACAAAGAGCTTTGAATTTATGAATTTATAGTACACCAATTCCAACATTTGTCCCTCTTGGTTTAGCTCAACAATTCTTTGTCAAAAAAAACAAAAACAAAAAAACAATTTGAACAGAAAACATGATTTGTTTGCATAATTTCAACAATAAAAAAATAAAGTTATTTTCAAGTGACCCAATTCAGTGGCCTCAGAGTCATTTTATATGTGTTTGTAATTTATTACTTCATTTACACTTAAATCTTTTTTTTGTATCATGTCACTGAACAATTTTAGTGCTTGCTATTTAGCTAAATGCCAGCAATAGCCCACTAACTGCTAAAAGTATTTGATTCAGTTGGAATGTTATGTTTTTTCAATGGACTCTGAAATGATTTTTTAAAATATAAATTTTACTTTTTTCATTTTTCATTAGTCATGGTTGAGTCTGAGAAGAGTTTCTGTCATGTTGGTTTTTGTGTTTTTCATTGTGCAGAAGCTGGTTTTGTTGTGGGCGGCTCTATTACAGTAACTCAGACCTGTGCAATGATGGGTCTCTTCATAAGTGTTCATCCCATTACACTAAAAAATGTTGCTATCTAGCAGATAAATGGAAAATATTAATTTCAGTAGTAAAAAAACGGAGAAATCCAATTAATTAGGTTTGTTCAATAAGATATTTTTTGAAAAAAAAAAGTGTTTCTAGACATCATAAAACAAACTTTAATTTGATAGAAAAGCTTTCCTCAATTTAATTAAGCTAAATTAACATTTTTGAGCATATGCATGTGAAATATACCTAAGGTTTTATACTTGAGCCTATTACTCATCTTAGACAGTAACAGAAAGTTTGTTCTGCTGGAAACCACACAGAAGTGTTGCATCAGATGAGCTTGATGCATCAGGATTACTTCAGCACTATTTGATCTCACAGTGCCTGAAATACATTTGTAAATGTGAAAATTTAGCTTGTGTTACCCCAAATCTGAAAATATGAGTCTGAACTAGGAGGTTCATCTGGGCTAAATTGTAATTCTTCTCTCTCGATCATAAAGCAGAAATGGACACTAATGGCTAATAGTTAGTGTACACATCACTGCCAGTTGAATCACCTCCTTGACAATTGTTTTTTAATTTAGATGTGTCGATATATATTGAATGGTCTTTCAGATATGGAGTAAAAGCCTTAGTTGTGTAAAGGAATTTTAGTGTCTATAAAAACATGCTGATACGTGTCTTAACTGTTCTGTCTGTGAACTTGCATTAAATATGAGTTGGTTAATTCATAAATGTAAATTTTGTTTATGTTTATTTCTTTTGAATTAGAAAGGGGTTTAGGGATTGGAGAAGGGATGGGACATCCTTCAGACATATACATTTTCATCAACAATGTCCATCATGTACCATTATTACATATTTTGAGGAGATCATTTTGAAGATAATCTGGCATTCATGTTAGACAGACAGGAACTCAAGAGTTTGTCCGGTGTGAAACCACACAAACACCAGATCTTCACAAGTGCTAATGATCTAAACCATTTAGATGAGCTAGATGCATCACAATCACACTATTATTTCTTAGCGCACACACACACACACACACACACACACACACACACACACACACACACATTATCAGGTATATAAAACAGCCACTTTCCTCATCTCCTGGTTTGAAGAGTTGTTGTTGATCTCCTCTCGCTGTTGCTGCTGAACTCCTGAAAAATAACAAAAAGGAAAACATAATCTGACAACAAGAGAGAACAATATTCTCAGGTAAGTTTGGTGTTCACATAAAAGGTCAATGTTCATATTGCTTTCTATTATACTTAGTGTCACTGGTTTAGTATTTGAGAAAAAGCTTTTGTGTTTCTGGTTGTCTTTCAGCATCTGTTCTTCTCTAGATCTACTAGATCATCTGAGGGATTCGACTGAATCAAGATGCTGCTGATCATTGAAGCTCTTCTTCTCATTTCAGCTGCTCTAGGACAGGTAAGCTTGTGTTCTAGTATGAATATTACAGACATGAATACTGATGATTGATCATTGTGATTGCTGCAGGATCACAGAGCTGCTGCTGCTGTTGAAAAGAAATGTCCACTGGATATGGCATCGAATTCAGTTGATGACCAATATGATGGCTGTAGAGAGAAAATGGCAAATCTGGTGAAGACAAAATATCTAAAGAAGGAAATCAAAAACTCAATTGATTTTAAAATTGCTTGGAAAAAAGGGGAAGACTTTGTCAAGACCCAAAATGATAACCTGACAAAGAATCATTTAATTGCTATTTATGTGTACAGTGATAGTAATGTATATAAGCTTTTTAATCCTGAAACTCGTTCCGGTAAAAAAAAGTACAAACAAATGAGATACAAATGGTATTCACTTCACTTACTGTTAACAGAAGCGATACAGATTCTGAAGAAAACACAAAAGAAATGTTATTCAACTTTTCGTGGTACCAAAACTGAATTTAATAAGCGTGTTCTGAACAAAGAGGTTCGATTTGGCTCATTTGCTTCATCCTCTCTTGATCGTAAAAAAGCACAGGTTTTTGGAAATGTGTCTTGTTTTGAAATCTACACTTGTACAGGTGCTGATGTGTCAAAATACTCTAAGCTTCCTCATGAGAAAGAGGTGCTGATTCCTCCATATGAGAAGTTTAAAGTCACTGCTGTCAAGACAAGAAAACAGCAGAAAGATCTCTGGTGTGACACTGTGTTCACTTTGAAAAGCTCTGGAAAGAGAAGTAACCTGAACTGTGCTCTATTCAAGAAACCACCCAAGACCATAATGAAGAAATATGTTGTGCGCTGAACAAAATGCTTGAATTCACATGATAAAATCATGTACATCAGTTCCATATATAAAGAATGTTTTTCTCTCAGTTAAGTTCAATAAGTCTTTATCAGAAAACACAATTTGTTTACAGAATTTCAACATAAAGAAATAAAGTTATTTTTAAGTGACTCAATTCAATGGCCTTTAAGTGATTTTATGTCTAAAACATTTCTTTATTTATACTTACACATTTTTGCTGAACAATTTTAGTGCTTGTTATCTAGAAAACTGCCAGCAATATCATAGCCACAATATCATATAGCCTTGGTTCATTATTTCCCTGAGCATCAGCATCTGACAACAAATCATCTTATAAATGACCCTTACCAAAAAGTAGTACTTCAAGATTATTTTATTAAGTATACTTAAGTAAGTAAAGTCCAAGTATATTTTTAAGTATACTTTATGTAGTATACAAATATCAGTGTACTACTAGTATACTTGTAAGTGTACTATTTCAATACTCCTTGGGACTAAATTGGCCCACTTTCTAGTATATAAAAGTATACTTTTAAGCATACTTTTAGTATAACAGTAGTAAACTTTGAGTACACAACTAGTTTACATCTATGTTTTTAGTTTGTACTGCAACTATACTAAAAGTGAACTTATAGGTATACTGATAGTTTACTAATTAAATACTCACACACACACACACACACACACACACACACACACACACACACACACACACACACACACACACATTATCAGGTATATAAAACAGCCACTTTCCTCATCTCCTGGTTTGAAGAGTTGTTGTTGATCTCCTCTCGCTGTTGCTGCTGAACTCCTGAAAAATAACAAAAAGGAAAACATAATCTGACAACAAGAGAGAACAATATTCTCAGGTAAGTTTGGTGTTCACATAAAAGGTCAATGTTCATATTGCTTTCTATTATACTTAGTGTCACTGGTTTAGTATTTGAGAAAAAGCTTTTGTGTTTCTGGTTGTCTTTCAGCATCTGTTCTTCTCTAGATCTACTAGATCATCTGAGGGATTCGACTGAATCAAGATGCTGCTGATCATTGAAGCTCTTCTTCTCATTTCAGCTGCTCTAGGACAGGTAAGCTTGTGTTCTAGTATGAATATTACAGACATGAATACTGATGATTGATCATTGTGATTGCTGCAGGATCACAGAGCTGCTGCTGCTGTTGAAAAGAAATGTCCACTGGATATGGCATCGAATTCAGTTGATGACCAATATGATGGCTGTAGAGAGAAAATGGCAAATCTGGTGAAGACAAAATATCTAAAGAAGGAAATCAAAAACTCAATTGATTTTAAAATTGCTTGGAAAAAAGGGGAAGACTTTGTCAAGACCCAAAATGATAACCTGACAAAGAATCATTTAATTGCTATTTATGTGTACAGTGATAGTAATGTATATAAGCTTTTTAATCCTGAAACTCGTTCCGGTAAAAAAAAGTACAAACAAATGAGATACAAATGGTATTCACTTCACTTACTGTTAACAGAAGCGATACAGATTCTGAAGAAAACACAAAAGAAATGTTATTCAACTTTTCGTGGTACCAAAACTGAATTTAATAAGCGTGTTCTGAACAAAGAGGTTCGATTTGGCTCATTTGCTTCATCCTCTCTTGATCGTAAAAAAGCACAGGTTTTTGGAAATGTGTCTTGTTTTGAAATCTACACTTGTACAGGTGCTGATGTGTCAAAATACTCTAAGCTTCCTCATGAGAAAGAGGTGCTGATTCCTCCATATGAGAAGTTTAAAGTCACTGCTGTCAAGACAAGAAAACAGCAGAAAGATCTCTGGTGTGACACTGTGTTCACTTTGAAAAGCTCTGGAAAGAGAAGTAACCTGAACTGTGCTCTATTCAAGAAACCACCCAAGACCATAATGAAGAAATATGTTGTGCGCTGAACAAAATGCTTGAATTCACATGATAAAATCATGTACATCAGTTCCATATATAAAGAATGTTTTTCTCTCAGTTAAGTTCAATAAGTCTTTATCAGAAAACACAATTTGTTTACAGAATTTCAACATAAAGAAATAAAGTTATTTTTAAGTGACTCAATTCAATGGCCTTTAAGTGATTTTATGTCTAAAACATTTCTTTATTTATACTTACACATTTTTGCTGAACAATTTTAGTGCTTGTTATCTAGAAAACTGCCAGCAATATCATAGCCACAATATCATATAGCCTTGGTTCATTATTTCCCTGAGCATCAGCATCTGACAACAAA